TTGTTTCGAGGGCAGGAGGGCCCGGTGCCACGTCCTAATTCCACAGCCACCAGGAGGAGCAGCCCCAGCCAGGAGGTCCGACTCCTGGCCAGTGACCCCCTCTTCTCTGGTGTCTCCACTTCCCCTCCGACCCCTGCCCAGTGGGTGTGCCCGTCCAGGGACCCCTCCCCTGCAGCTGGAGCTACTTGGGCACCCAGGGGACGGGCGGTTCCTCAGCAGGGAAGCTGCCCAGCCCATCTCGGGACAGCTCACTTAGATTTTATGATGATGCAGCGGCAACATGTCTGCCTTTACCTGTGACCAGCCCCAACTGAATGGGGCCGAGGCCCGAAGAGCTCTGGACTTGAGGGCCAGGTAGGCTGGCACCCCTGGTTGCTCAGCCTGGCATCTCCCCCTCAGGACCCCTCTCTTTGAACCGCCCCCCAGAAAGTTTTCCCTGCCCTGGGAGGAGGGCCGCAGCCCTGAAATCCCACACCCAGTCCTCCAACGCCAGTTAGAGCCACGGCCATGGCCACCTGGAGCTCAGGTGCAGCACAGGCTGAGGGACCACACGTGGGAACCATTGCAAAGCACACCCAGGGGGACCAGGGAGGAGTGGCTGCCACCCTCTCCTTCCCAATCCTCCCACGACCCAGAGAAGCAACCAACCCTCTCCCATCACGGATACAGGCGACGCCCCCAAGGGCCTGTCCCACCCTCATTTTCCTGGCAAAGCATGGAGTCAGCACGGATACAAGACGTTTCCCATGACCACAGGCCAGGCCCAGCGGCTGCTGGCCAGGTGGGTGCATCCTGGAGCCCATCCCCCGCTGGAGGGCTGGCACCAGGGCAGGAGGCTGTGGGGAGCCCTTGGCACATGGGGGAGAGTAAGAACGGCCAAGAGCAGCTTTAAGCTGGAGAACCTCCCAAAGGGCTGTGGGGCCAGCTGGGAGCCTCAAACCACACTCAGAACCGCTCAACAAAAGCTTTCGAGCAGCACTTTTTATATTAAGAAATAAATTCAAACTCATTTCATAATCAAAGCAATTTCTGCAAAGCATGTAGGCTGCACAAGCGAGAGCGTGGGAACCCGAGTCCACTCGAAGAGGCGCTGCCCTGCTGCCCTGAGAAGAGGGGGGCCAGCTCTGCTGGGTCTGCAGTGGCCCCACCCCCCTGGCTTTAGGTCAGGTGACCCACTTTCAACACACCTGGTGTGTGTGTGGGGGTAAGACCAGGTCCACCCCTTAGGCCTGGGCGAGGATGCACAGCAGTGAGCATGGCCAGGGCACTGCGGATGTCCAGACCCACTAGTGACCCTGGCTTCACCTCATTCACCCCAGCAGTCGGCTCTGCTCAGCTTGTTAAATAAACAAACATCATTTTAAAAAACAATGTAAACAATAGCTGCCGACCAGGGTGAAATGCGACAGGGAGAGCCCAATGCTGCCCGTGCAGGTGCCAGGCGGGCGACAGGGACGCCCGCGCAGTGAGCCCGGCCTGGGGGGCGGACCAGGCAGCTGTTCCCACCCACCAAGCACAGCACGAGAAAGCGGCCAGCTGGGAACACGTCTGACGAGACCCAAAGAAGTTTCTGGAGCAGCCCCGTGGCTGCAGCTAGTTATGGTGCGGGGGCCTCAGAGGATGGCCCCCTCCCGAGCGCTGTGCCCACAACCGCACACCCAGCACGGAGGTCAGGAGGCTGTGGGACATACAGTGCGAGAAATCATTTTTATTTTTAGCTTTACCCCCAGATAAGAAAAAAGTACACAGTGAAGAAGTGGGTATACACACAAGTTAAGCCAAGGCCTGAACGACAAGGAAACTGAGGTGGAGAAGCACAGTGACTATTGTGGGAGATCGGGGGGCAGAGGTGCTGGACAGGCTCCCCGCCGTCTGCACACACGCGGACAGGCTCCGGGAGGGGTTACGTTCAAATTTCAAATCCATGTTTAGGGACAACTGGTCAGGTGTTCAAAGCCCACTAACATGTTTAGAGGCAGGCTTTTACTTGCTTTTTAAGGCAAATGGGTTTGTAATTTACAAAGCCGCTATCCCCCGAAAGGTTTCAAACAGCCCAGAGCCTCCTGCCAGACCAGCCCCTCCTCCCGGGCCCGCGGCGTCCGCGCAGCTCCAGGCTGGCCATTCCACACTAGAAGCAGGTGACCGTCTTTCCACCAAAGGCTCCCTAAGGACGCTCCCGGCTCAGCCGGGCTCCTGGGAGGAAGCTCAAGTGTGGAAAATGACCCCCCGGAGCTACACGAGTGCCCACAGGAAACACTACGTTTAAGCCACTCTGTATTCATGTGAACTCGTGGCAAAGGGAAGAAAATTTAAGGTCAAGGGGGAAAATGTGCACTTAAAAACGAACAGTTTGAGGCCAAAGATGTCATCAAGCAATACTTCAAATGCAAGAAATGGAACAAACTTGGCATTTGTTTCTCAAAAAGAAAAAAGACCGTCCGATGCACAAACATGGACAACCTCAGACCCCGCTGGTGTGAGCAGCGGCCTGGAGACCACGCATCCCGTCTCCAGCTGGAGAAGAGGGGCACCCTCTGAGAAGGCGGGCAGTGCGGAGCTGGGAGGGCTGGGACGGAAACAATGTTCTGGAAGCTGCCGAGACGGCGGCACAGCCCTGGGAGACGCACGGAAGCCACAGGCTGCCCTTTGGACGGACAGACTGCACACACCACAGACCCGTTAACGCAACTCAGAAGAGCTTTCGTCTGGAGGGTCAGGTGAACTCCGGTTTCCCGAACTATCAGTAAACAATCCCCAAAAGGAAAATGGTAACGAAACCGTGACTAACCTCCTTCCTGCTCCTGCTGGTGGAGAAACCACACCAGCTATTTCGTCAAGTCCTTCGCTCCTAATGGGACAACTGGCCAAACCTGACTGAGGCCAGTGCACGCAGGGACCTGAGGCCTGGCTGCACGGGGCAGATGCAGGCCGCCTCCAGAACCGGTCACTCTCTCCACGGAAAAGTCATCTGCCGGCCGTGGCCGGCGTGTCTCAGTGGTTCAGAGCATCAGCCTGCACCCTGAAGGGTCTCAATTCCTGGTCAAGGGCATGTACCTGGGCTACAGATTCCATCCCCAGCTCTGGTCAGGGTGGGTGTGGGAGGCAGCCAATCAAGGTGTCTCTTTCTCTCCCCCTCGCTCTCTCTAAAAATCAATGGAAAAAATACCCTTGGGTGAGGATCAACAACAAAGAAAATTCATTTGCCCCATGTGACATCTTAAAACAGCGGTTCTCAACCTGTGGGTCGTGACCCCTTTGGGGGTCGAACAACTCTTTCACAGGGGTCGCCTAAGCCCATCGGAAAACACACATATAATTACATATTGTTTTTGTGATTAATCACTATGCTTTAATTATGTTCAATTTGTAACAATGAAATTGGGGGTCACCACAACATGAGGAACTGTATTAAAGGGTCGCAGCATTAGGAAGGTTGAGAACCACTGTCTTAAAATATTTTTCTAGCTTTCTAATGGTTACTAGAGGCCCGGTGCACAAAATTCATGCATGGGTGTGTGTGTTCCCCTCAGCCCAGCCTGCACCCTCTCCAATCTGGGACCCCTCTCACAATCCAGGACTACTGGCTCCCAACCGCTCGCCTGCCTGCCCCCTAACCACTCACCTGCAGGCCTGGTCCCCCCGGCAAGTGCCCTCCCCTGCAGGCCTGGTCCCCCGCAAGTGCCATCCCCTGCAGGCCCGGTCCCTCCCAACTGCCCTCCCCTGCAGGCCATCTTGTGTCCACATGGGGGCGGCCATCTTGTGTTGGAGTGATGGTCAATTTGCATATTACTCATTATTATATAGGATAACCGCCACTTCTGCAAACACCAACCAGGCATCCTGTCCCAGGCACGGGGCTTAGCTCTTAGCTGCACGCATCAGGAGCAAATGAGGAAGCAAGCAAATCGCTAGGCCCCCCTGAGCTACATGCTGGTCCCATCGCTCATCAAGGATCCCCTCTCATATGCATTGCCAGGGTGACCCACTGATGGCCCTCCCCTCCCTCACCCTGGGCGATTACAGTGTTCAGTGACCCCTGGAGAAGATACCCTCCATTACTGGTCAAGGGCTGCACTTGGGTCACACTAAGCACCAAGCACAAGGTTGTTCTGCCCAAGTGAAGTCAATCAAGCAACGAAGGTGTCCCCCCCACACATGCCCAGAGTTTTGTGGGGGCAATCAAGAGGGGAGGGGGCTTTCCTACACAGGGTGGGTCGCCAGGAGACAAGTACTGTTGTTGACAGTGGGCACAGCAACCCGCCCCCCCACCCCCGCTTCCTGACATGGCAGAGGCACGCACGGGGTGGATGGACACACGGACACACACACACACACACACGTGCAGTTGTCTTTGGAACAGATGCTTCTGGGGGACACTGAGTTCTGAAAAGTGGGTTCTGCTCCTGTTGAACTATCAGGGACACGCACATCACCCTCCTGCTCAGAGTCCCTCTGGATTTCGTCTTTTAAAAATGTGTCAGCTGCCGGCCGCTGTGAAAGGGCCTCTGTGAGCACTGAGCGAGTGTGCAAGCACACCACCCCGTTCTCACCCCGTGGGTGTGAGCTTAAACGTGAACGCTGCTGACAGTATCTTCAGAACCAGCCAGGGTCTCACGATAAGCTCCAAGCACACGGAAGCCGGGGCTAAAACCCAGCTCCTTCCAGGGAAAAGGAACCCTGGTTAACGCTGCTGCCAGGCTAAGGGCAGCCTCAGCTCCAAGGACCCAGAGACTGTCCTGAGGCTGCTCCTCGGCCAGCCAGTGCCCGGCCTCCCCTCCTGGCCCAAGACTGTGAGCAGAGCAGTTGCTCCAACATGGAGACAGGACACAGGCGAGGACTCCCCACTGGAAACTTGGGGAGCTTCCCCCAATGCAGGCTCTGCCTGGGGTTCTGAGAAAGGGCCCGAGAACAGGCACTGCCCCAGCTGCGAGGGCTCCCGCCCGGCCAGCACGCCACCCGGGGGACTGGCTCCAGGTGCCACCCAGATCAGTCACAGCCGCCGTGGCCACCCAGACCCCCAAGGCCTGCTGCAGCACCGACAGGAAGTGCCTGTTTCTGCCCCAGGGCCCCCACCCATATCTACCTGGAGCCTGGCAGGAGCAGGGGCTCACACACCAGCTACAAGACCTCCGGGCCACTCTGGCTAACGAATCTAGATGGACAGAGAACACCTGTGGCCTATTAACACCTGTGCCAACATGGAGACCAAGCGTTCCATTTGGTGCTACATCCCCTTCACCTGATTCAGCTGGGTTCCACCCTGAGAACTACACGTCACGCAGTGACGGCAGAGGCCCAGGAGTCCACAGCAGCACAGGGTGGTAGGTGCCTGGTCAAAACCCCGGCAGCGATCACCTTAACCACACACAGCTCGGTGCCACGTTCACAAGACTATATTTAAAAAGTACCTTCCCCTTAAAAACCACGTGAGGACAGAGTGAGAAGATGCCACCTGCAAGCTGAGGAGAGGGGCCTCCGAGAGACCAACTCTGCCCACACCTTGACTTGGGTTTCTGCCCTCTAACTGTGAGGAAATAATGTGCTGTTTAAGCTAAAAGACAAACAAAGCACAAAACCCTTTCTTTCGTGAGTCTGAGGAAGCAGAGCCAGCCTGTTGCCTGATGCAAAGCAAAGTTCCTTCAAATCGTCATTTACTAACGGGCTTCCTTTGCTCACACACAAGGCCTTTCATGGATCTGACCTTCCAGAGACATCACCAGAGGTGGGTGCAGCAGCCGGCCGGTGTGGGTCAGTGCACACCCACTGGCACACACCTGCCTGCTCAGGAAAGCCGGCGGCCCTGCAGTGAGAAAAGCAACGGATCCTGCGGTTCCCTCCCCCATCTCATCTGTGTAATATCATGACCTTGTCACCATGGACTTCCCGTGTCTGTCTGCGTGCCCTACGTGTCCCCGGCCCCCAGGGTGCTGACCCTTGCACTGTCCAAGCAACACTAGAAACGCACTTAGTTCTCTGAGATGAGAAGACTCAGCACAGCACGCAGCGGCGGCCACGATCCACCCGCCTCCCAGATGCCCGCCATGGGGTCAGCACGATGCCTGTGCCACAGACCACCACACTGGGGTCTTGAAAAGGGGGACCCGCTGGGATACAGCTCCTTGTCTTTCCTAAGGAGATCGTTGTACATCTGATCATATGTCGTTTTGAAATCGTAAACGTTGGGCTTGTCGGGTGCTGGCCCCGGGAGCTTCACGTGAGTCCCTGTTCCGAAGGACCGGACGCTGAATCCCCGTTTGCTGGAAGACACAAAGGAGACAAAGATCACAGCTGGGTTAGGTCAGACACGGACCCTGCAAGCAGGGGCATGAGGTGGGGGCAAACAAGTGAGTGATCCTGTTGGTATTCGAGAGCATGCTTTTAAATAGTGAACTTTAAATGTTAGAGAGTCATGTAGCCTGTTACACAAAAACCAGACGAAACCGAAAATAACGGAGATGCAGGGCTGCCTGCCACCCTGGTTCTCTCCCACAACATGCTCCGCACCTCCAGCAGCGCCCAGCGCGCAGCAGGCATGACAAATGGCTGCTAGATGAACGGGACACAGGCCGCACTCAAGCGGAGCTGCCGAGTGACTAGGAAGCCTCTGGATAAGGTGCTGGCATCCAAGTGTCCAGCTGTGAAAGCCGGGGTCACCTCCACCCGACCTCTCACTTCTGGGAGCTCCCCGCCCCCCGCCCCCCGCATGCACCTGCAACCAGCCCCAGAACTGTCGGCAGGTCCATCCACACAGCAGGGCACTTCCTGCCACTGAGAAAGGGTGAGGGGCAGCACGCGCACTGAACCCAGAACTGGTCAGAGAACGCGGGGAAACAGGTGAGTGGCCAACCAACCAAGGGCCAGGCACTCGGCAGTGACAGAGAGGGAGGCCAGGCGTAAGGACGTCCGCAAGTGTGTGCTGTGACCAGAGGGCAACAGGCCCAGCCACCAATCAGACGTGCTGACCACCTCCTCCCAGTCCCCCCCTGCCCCTCACCAATCCAGGTAACATACAAGAAAAGGAGTATTTTCTGTCAAAGCCCCAACCAGCCTGACAAGTCACCTCAACCATGGCGGTGGGAACCAGGCAGCGACAGGAACCCACCACCTGCTCGATCCCCACAGGGTCATGGTCATCCCGGCTGGCCGCACCTGCTTCTCTGGAGGCCACGTTCCCCTAAGCTGGCGGCCCAGCTGACCACTGCCCCACAGGAACTGCCCCAACAAGCCACTTCCCCTGCAAGTGCCCTAAAGGCGCTGCCAATGCTCCAGCAACCTAACGGCTATCTAATGGGAAAATGTCCACCTCAAGGGAAAGAGTGAATTATTCCTCAGACCAACCCTTTCCGCAGAGTGTGAGACCCATCAGCCCGCACGGCCCTCCCGAGGGCAGAGGGCCTCATGGGAAAGCAGGGCGCACAGAAGCCCACAAGCACCAATGCCCCCACCTCTTCACTGGTTCACCCAAGGGCACCAGGAGCTGCCTCTCCGGCCGGCCAGCGGGAGGGATGTGCTGAGACCCACAGCTCCCCCAGGGCCGGCGTGGAGCTGAGGCCTGTGCCCAGCAGAAGGCAGGTCGTCCCTGTGGAGGGAGCAGCCAGGCCTGGGCCTCCTACGAGAGCTGAGGAGCATGTGGCCGAAGGTGCGCATTAACCAGGGAGAACACTGTGGCCAGGAGAGACCCGAAGTGCGAAAGCAGCTGCTCAGCACGTCCCTGGACCCACCCTGGTTCTGTCTCCAGAGGCCGCACGTCCCTCACGAGCCCTGCCTCCTGGCGGCAGCGCTCAACAAGTCACGTGAAGCCACATAGAGAAACACGCTCCACTCGGCTGTGCAGACACTGAAACTGAAGGCCTGCGGCAACCCTGCGTCGAGCACGTCTACGGTGCCATTTGCTTCTTTTAAATACGTTTTTATTGATTCCAGAGGAAGGGAGAGGGAGAGAGAGAGAAACATCAATGATGAGAATCACTGATTGGCTGCCTCCTGCACGCCCCCTCCTGGGGACCAAGTCCGCAACCCTGGCATGTGTCCCTGACCAGAATTGAACCTGGGACCTTTCAGTCCGCAGGCTGACGCTCTATCCACCGAGCCAAACCAGCCAGGGCTACGGTGCCATTTTCTAGCAGGCTAAGATGATGATTACCACTTTATAGCAATAAAGTGTTTTTCCTAGTCCTGTGGTCGGCAAACAGCGGCTCGCAAGCCACATGCGGCTCTTTGGCCACTTGAGTGTGGCTCTTCCTAAGCCTTAGGAGGACCCTAATTAAGTTAATAACAATGTACCTACCTATATAGTTTAAGTTTAAAAAATTTGGCTCTCAAAAGAAATTTCAATTGTTGTACTGTTGATATTTGGCTCTGTTGACTAATGAGTTTGCCGACCACTATCCTAAGGTATGTACATTGTTGGTTTAGACCAGGGGTCCTCAAACTATGGCCCACGGGCCACATGCAAATACAAATATTGTATTTGTTCCCGTTTTGTTTTTTTACTTCAAAATAAGATATGTGCAGTGTGCATAGGAATTTGTTTAGTTTTTTTTTTAAACTACAGTCCGGCCCTCCAACGGTCTGAGGGACAGTGAACTGGCCCCCTGTTTAAAAAGTTTGAGGACCCCTGGTTTAGACAGTGCTACTGCACACTTTAACAGACTGCAGTGCAGCGTGCATATCCATAACTTATGTGCGCGGGAAAACAAAACACACAGTACCTGAGGGCGTCTGGAACGCAGCCTGCAGTGTCTCAGCTGTGTCTGCAATGAGGTAACTGGATATTCGGGAGAGAATTTTTGGGGTCGAGCCCAGCTGGCGTGGCTCAGTGTCATTGAGAGTCAACCTATGAACCAGGAGATCACGGTTTGATTCCTGATTGGGGCACATGCCTGGGTTATAGTCTCGATCCCCAGTAGGGGTGTGTGCAGAAGGCAGCCGATCAATCATTCTCATCATTGATGTTTCTGTCTCTCTCTCTCCCTTCTCTGAAATCAATTAAAAAATATATACTATAAAAAAAGAAAAGAAAAAAGAGTTTCTTAGGCCCTGGCCGGTTAGCTCATTTGGTTAGAACGTTGTCCTGATACGCCAAAGTTCAGGTTCAATCCCCAGTCAGGGCAGGAACCAACCAATGAATGCATAAATAAGTGGAACAACAAATCAATGTCTCTTTCTCTAAAAGCAACAACAAAAAACAAGGAAGGAATGTATTAAAATGAGCCTAAGCACAGCCACACTTGAAACCATTGATGAACTATCCAGTGAGGACATCGGAGCCACAGCAAAGGAGTCAGGAAGCCCCAATGGTGACATTTCAAATGTGAAAAACCACTTCTCCTGGCAGCAGGTTTACCTTCCACTTTGATTCGACAGTATTTCCGGAAGCTCACTATTTGCTGGGGACACCCAGTGGTCAAAACAGACCCAATCTCTCCCTCAGCTCCTGGGGGGTGAGAAAATAAGTAAAACATCCAGGACACAGGACGGTGAGCAGCACGCCCAGAAGGCTTCTGGGAGAACCCCTATAGCAGTGGTTCTCAACCTTCCTAATGCCGCGACCCTTTAATACAGTTCCTCATGTTGTGGTGACCCCCAACTTCATTGTTACAAATTGAACATAATTAAAGCATAGTGATGAATCACAAAAACAATATGTAATTATATATGTGTTTTCCGATGATCTTAGGCGACCCCTGTGAAAGAGTCGTTCGACCCCCAAAGGGGTCGCGACCCACAGGTTGGGAACCGCTGTCCTATAGGGCCTTCCCCTCCACCTGCTGCAGCTGTCTGGGTCCGACCTGCGGGGGACGCCACCTGGCAGGCCTGTCTCCTGCACTCATCACGTCATGCTGGGTCTGAGGTTTCACTGGGTGTCCAGATGGAGCACTCCCCATATCCCCGACAGTAAGTCATCCCCACGGTAACCGGGCCCAGCCTTCCCCGCGACCGACCGCCCAGACAAGGCTCCTCGCTGGCTGGGTTTCTCTGAGGAACTGCCTGCTGCCATCCTCACCGCCCTCCAGACTCTGAGATCGTCACCAACCATGTTTAAAAATAAGATGAATGCAGTTTGTTCCTCCCCCAACAAAATGCTCACAAGTGGCAAAGGCTAATTAGCAGCAAAGCACTGTTTCTTCTAAGCTGGTGCAACGACATAACAGCCCATCTTGCGTGTGACAGCTGTGCCGTGTGAGAATTTGTTTCTTACATAAGAGAACCAAGGGCTAAAATAAAATTCCTGACAACAGGCTTTGTTTCAACGGCCAACTATTTTCTATGTTAATCTAACCTTCCAGACAAGTGTTTACCAAACGCCTTCACGAGTATAAAAATCTTTCATCAAGAACCTATCTGCCCTGGCTGGTGTGGCTCAGTTGGTTGGGGCATGTCCTGTACACCAGAAGGTGGCAGGTTTGATTCCCAGTCAGGACACAAGCGGAAGGCAATTGATCGATGTTTCCCTCTCTCTTTCCCTCCCTCTGTCTCCCTCTAAGATAAACAAAACCTATCCAAGACAATGTTAAATGTGGGGGTATAGAATTGTTTCCCTTGTTATCCAATGACTAAAGGGAAAATGCTAACGTTAAGAACACCAGAAGAATCCAGAAGAATCGTAAGGTCAGTGCTGTAGTGTGAGCACGACAAACCTACTGGGAAGCATTCCTCTGGCTAAGAGTGAGCCCAGACCTGCCAGCCTCCCGGGAGCACAGCCTGTGGGGACAGTGCCCTCACCACGTCCCCTCCACAGGTCAGTCACTGCTCCTCAGCCCCATCGCTGGCTACAGGACCTCATGCCCACAGAACACAACCAGCTGCTCCCAAGCTACCCCACCTACAGTCTGCCTGCAACGTCACGTTGAGCCGGCCAGGACTGGGAAGACACACTTCTGAAATGTCAACATTCCAATAAAATTTATGTTCTCACCAGCAAATTGTGGGCCCTAAACACATTCCAATAAACATTTTCTATGATTTCATTTATTATGATCCCACAAGGCCAAGAATGAAACGGAGCGGCTTCTAAGCAGATCTGTGCCTTGAACTTGTGATAAATGTGCCATTTAGACTGCCCGGTTGGTGCCCTGCTTGGACGCCCTCCTGCCCCGTTCCTGGACCCTGTCTTCTCACAGGCCACCTTGCTCTGCTGGCCACTGGGGGCTCCCCCTCACACAGCACCAGCACCAGCAGAAGGCAGTCCCAGGCCGGGACGCACACCACCGGCTGCACCGGCTCGGGCGCCGGTCCTCATCTGTCGGGGCTGTTCCCATGCCTGGTCTGCCCGGTTCTGTCTCAATGTTCACCTTCAAATGGAATTCTCCACCCTGTCCTGCTTCTGAAGACAAAAACCACATAGCCCCTCAGAGCCCACGAAGGTGGACGTGGTCCTCTGCCATTCCCAGGACCTGACTTCAGACCCAGTCACCTTCTCACATTTCTAGTTGGCTTCCTTTTTCCTTTAAGTTCTCCCAGAACTGAGATATCAAAGTTTCAGCCACAGAGGCTGCAGGACCCAGCTGACCCACCCTAGTAAGCAGTTTCTGTAAATGTGTTCAGACCAGAGGTTTTGGGCACCTTGAGTGGGAGCACCCTATGTCTGAGATGTGCCAGGTGTGTGACCACACCACCTCAGGCAGCCTGAGACACGTCCCTTCTGGGAGGAGGTCCGAGCGCCTTCTCTCCCCGTGTGGCTTGGGGCCCACATGATGTGAAGATCTGAGAGCACCGTCCAGATCGGAGAACTGCAGGACCTCAGTTGACTGTGGCACCCACCCACCTCCACCCCCTGGATCCCTCCTTCAACCCAGGTTTTCTTTCCCATCTTGAGTCTTGGTTGTCACATCTGCAATGACCGGGCCCCTTGGGTCCCTCACAAGCTGGGGCCTCCTCCTCCCCTGTGCCTGTGAGCATCTAAGGGTGTCCAGACGCAGTCAGGTGGGGCTGGGAAAGCACCTGCTAGAGGAGCTCCAGAGACGGGCTCACCTGTTTCTCCCATGTTTGCAGCCCCTGCTCACCTTCCCAAAACCACACAGCCAGGGAGTTGTGACTGAGAACTCAGCCCAGCAGCTCATAGAAGTCTGTCTTTAAAATTTGTTTTGAATTGCTGCATGTACAATTAGAAATGTAGCTTCCAAAAATCAACATGCCTCTTAACATCTAGGAGGTAGTTTGGAACAAAAAATGAATTGGCTCTAAAGAGAAATCTTAATCCACAAAGTACAAAGAACAGGAGTCCCTATGGAAGCATACAAGTCTTCCAACACCTTAAAAACCTAATACCCCCCCCCCCCACTGGTATTTCAAAAATTTTAGTCTGAAAAGATAAAAATGATCACCCCAGGGAACATTCTGACTAGCTCTAGAAAGTGCCAACACTCATTATCACTTGTATTCGACTTGTCAAAAAAAGATGCAGTCCAAGCTGATTTCAACAGGGCAAAAATAAAACAGGGTTTCACTGATAAACTACCTACAGAGTGTGTTCAGGTAACCACATTCTTTTTGATATTTATTTGTTTTCCTATGCATACTCTTTTGTATTTGTAACCAGACTGCACACAAGTTTCTTGCTTTTTTCCACCTACCACATCATCTTTCTTTGCTTTCCACAAACATCACTTTAAGGTCTAAGTCTCTAAATCTGACTTTCATAAGCTCTCCTAATTGTAACAGAAACCTTCAATAAGTTTCTGAAGATGCTTTTAAACCCTGTAAAAAATCCAAATACATAAAGCCATAAGTAATTTCTCAACAGTGAGAAAGACATGAAAAATTGTTCAATATCAAAGAAATTTAAAAATAAAGGAAGGTGAGATCCACACTTCTGCCCTGGTAGCATGAAAAGATTGTGAGGAAATGAGAATTTTATAAATAGGTATTTTCTGGAAGGCAGTCTGGCAAAAACGTATGAAAATGTAACTCCACCTCTAGGAATTTATGCCAAGGAAATAACCAGAAAATGTGCAGATACTTAGATGGCACAAGGATGTTGACATTGTACAACTGCAAAATAGAACAAGAACACCCAAATGTCTATTAATGGGAGACTGGATACAAGTCACCCTGCCCAGGGTCCCAACCACTGGCTGTCACCACAGGAACAGATGTTCAAACTCAAGGCATCAAAATGAAAGTGACCCTGGTCAAGTTGCTCAGTTGGTTAGAGTGTCGTCCAGATACACCAAGGGCTTGATTCCTGGTCAGGGCACATACAAGAAGCAACCAATGAATGCATAAATAAGCAGAACAACAAATCGATGTTTCTCTCAAATAAATAAATAATTTTTTAAAAAAACACAGAAATGAGTACTGCAATCAGACCATGTTCACAACATGATGTGAAGAGAGGTTGCAGAGCTTCATTTTGATCTCCCTTTAAGTGTATTAGACACAGAAAAATGGTATTTTGAGTGATCTTCATCTTCCATATTTTCTTCAGTGAGAATTTTGCAAACAAAGATTACTTTTTTAACAAAGGAAAACACTCCCCAAAATAGGCATTTTAGAAATTAAAGAGCCATGTCTAGCCAAAACCGGTCTGGCTCAGTGGATAGAGTGTCGTGTGGACTGAAGGATCCCGGGTTCGATTCTGGTCAGGGGCATGTACCTGGGTTGCGGGCACGTCCCCAGTGGGAGATGTGCGGGAGGCAGCTGATCGATGTTTCTCTCTCATCGATGTTTCTGACTCTCTATCTCTCTCCCTTCCTCTCTGTAAAAAATCAATAAAATATATTAAAAAAAAAAAAAGCCATGTCTAAAAGAACCTTACATTCACCACATGAATAACATGTTAACCTAAACTTACCTCCTTTGTCCTCATTCTGCCCTTCTGATGAGTAAACTTGAAAGATAGTAAACTCAGTAAAAGCACACAAAAGAATTCCTACTCTGGCTTTTTTTGCCCCTCTTTCCACAGGAGACCCAATGCTGTGCTGGCTCCCACCACTATGAACTACTAAGAACTTGCTATCTTTTTATTTTTCATTTTTATTTATTGACTAGGGGCCCAGTGCATGAATTCGTGCACCTTGAAAGGAACTGTGGGCCTTGAGGCTGCGGTGGGCACAGTGATGGGTCTCGGCCCATCCTCCTCACCCCTACCTGGCCCCTCCCGCCACTGCCCCTGGTACCCTGTCTGCAGGCAGCCCTGCTCCCCTCGACACCCCACATGCTGACAGCGCTGTTCCCGCTTGTACCTGCTGACAGTGTGGAGCGATTGGGGCCGGTGCCAGCAGCGGGTGCTAGCGGGGCCAGTGCTGTCAATGGTGCGAGCAGCAGCTGCTGCCCCTATCACCCCTCAGGAGCAGAGGGAGGTGGAGAAGCCCTCAGGGGCAATCGGGGCCAGCAGCCACCACTCACACCCGCTGATGGCGCTGAGTGATCTGGACCGGACCGACGCCGGGCACTGGCAGCGGGTGCGAGCGGCGCCTCTGGCACCAGCAGAGGATGTGAGCGCCAGCCGGGACTGTGGTGCGTGGGAGCAAAGAATTTTCAGTAACCACCAGAGGCTCACCCCAATGACAGCAACCGGTGCCCCGCCTTGGTCTGGCACCCCCTCTCACCTGCTCCGCTATTCTCCCCATGGCCAATGTCCGCCATGTTCTGCACACACCCCCTGGTGGCGGTTGTTCGGTCGTTCCTACTGTTCCGCCCTTCGTTCTATTTGCATATTAGCCTTTTATTATATAGGATTTTAGAGAGAGGAGAAGGGGGGGGGGTTGTGTATCAATCTGTTGTTCCACTTATTTTTGCACTCGGCCATGGTAGCTTCTTGTGTGTGCCCTGACCTGGATCAAACCCACAACCTTGGTGTTATCTGGCTGACGCTCTAACCAACTGAGCTCCCGGGGCCAGCCCAGGGCATCAGACAGGCATGACTTTGAAACCGATTTCACTCACAAAGTTGCTGCAGGTAATTTTTTAAACTTTTTCTTTTCTAAGATTTCATCCCAACTTTATTACACAAATACTTAGTAGCAGAAGGACTTAAACAAAGGATCACCAGCCAGAACCAGCAGGATGAGGTGGTCTCCACAGCACCTGTTATTATAATTAAAAACATTCAATATCAGTTCCCTTGAGCAGTTTTCCAGGGGTGTGAACGCTGCATTCTTCTGCTTAAATTTACCCAATTTTTAATGACTGGAGACATAATGCTGTTTGGGGGGTGACCCAGCACAATGTAACTCCAGCATGTTTCTAGTTTTAAAATAACTTTACAGTTTAAAAATAACCTGCACATAGACTTCTTAGGTTCAAAGCGTGTGATAACACGCTACCCAAAACGGCATCCCGTGAACACTGCGGACCGGCCGCCGATGATGTTGGGAGGCATCAAACTCCTCCGTAGAGGATCATGGCCACGGGACCCTGCCCGCCTCAGCAGGGAAACCAGAGTGCGGGGGCCCCACCCTCCCGTCACCCGGGGCTCAGGCAGGGCCGGTCACAGCAGCCAGGCTCTGCTGAGCTGTCACATCCGCACACAGGGGCGCCGGGAGAGAAGGCAGCTCCCACTGCGCTTTACTGTCACCACTGACGGGTGCACCGAACTGTCACAATAATGCGAATGACCGAGGGCAAAACTCTGTCAGGCAAGAACAAACTTTCACTGAAGACACCAGGGTCCCCGAGGAGGAGTTACGCTGAAATATCACGCGAGGCGCCCACTCCACTGCCCTCCAGAGCCGCCGGGGGCCCTTCCAAGGGGTCGGGGAGGGTTTCTGACTCGAGACTTGAACGTGTGGCTAGAAGCAAACACACAAATTCCTGACGTTGACAACACGGCTATTTCCCTATTTTTTTTTTAAAAAGCGTCTTCCTGTGCTGAGGTCACGTCCTGCAGGTTTCCCAACAGGTGGTAAGTGACGCTTCGCCCTGGACCCTAAGCCGGCGTCTGGGCCAGACAGGCCCCCCATTTTCCGATGCGCCGACGGGCGTGCCAGGCGGGCGCGCCGAGCACCAGCCACCGGGTCTCCTAGGAGCTTTGAGGTTCCGGCGGCGCGGGAACGTTTTCACTTCGAACTTGGATTTCCCCGCGATGCTGAGCACACGTGGGCGC